CCTTTCCAGTGAATCAAATAGTTCAGTTTTCCTCCTCTTCTTGCATCTAGAATGCATTCTACTTGATATATTCCCCATCTTCCCAAAATGCGGGGGGGGGGGCAGAAGAGGAACAATTTTAGAATGCCAGATGCAGGAAGATCCTCAAGTACAAGTAGTGGCCAATGGAAGAATGGATGAACTTCCATAGAAGCAGGTGATTGCAAACTAAAAGCACTGGAATGATCTGTTAGGTAACCAAGGAGGTGCCTTCCAAAATCTGAATGTTAATTGAGGATCCTGGTCTGAGATCACATGACTGATTGAGATCCTGTAGCTAAAAGTGTGGTATACACAAAGTTGCACAGTTGCGCTGATGAAAGGACTGTACAAAGAACGAAATGAGCAATCTTGGTAAACAAATCCACCACCATAAAAATTGTTATTTAACCCTGTACAGGGGGGAAAAAATCAGTAATAAAATCCCACGATGCAACTGGTGAAGGAGAACTGAAGCGAAACAGCTCTCCAGGAATATCTGTGACCAGCAACAAATAGGACAAGACGAAACAATCCTTGACGTACGCTCTCATCTTCAGCCAAAATAGCTCTCCTCTGCTCAATGCAAAAATTTCAAGTGACCCCTACATCATGTCCAGCAACATCTACTCCCTTAAAGGAAGAGGAACACAGATGGAACGACTGCTCATCATTCCTAGATAAAGACGAAGACTTAGCTTATGGGGCTCACTAGAAGTCATCCATTTGAGCCCTGACATATGCAACCTATTATTGTTGCATTCTAACCCAACCTAGCAGATCACGGCCTGTGTCCCAACCTCCAATATTTCTGGAAGATCTAATCTCTGGGGAGGTTAGAGTTGCTTGGCTGCATCTAGAGACACATGAGCATGGAACATTTATGTTCAGATATATGAGAACATAAGCAATGCCCTATTGCCGTGGTGGAGAACCTATGGCACGTGTGCCACAGGTGGCATTCAGAGCCCTCTCTGTGGGCACCCGCGCCGTCGCCCCAGTCCTAGGCCTTCAGCTGGGTTTTATAAAACCTTTTTGCTTTAAGCCTCCGCTGCCATGTGCAAAAAAAAAAAAAAAGGTTCAATCAATCAATTTCAACTTCTTGTGGGGAAAAAAAAAGATCTCGCAAAGTTGGAATTGATTGATTGAACTTTTTAGTCCCACCCAGTCTGCCGTTACCACTGAAGCCATGCCCATCCAATGGGCCACCTCCACCCGGCACCCGACAATACATAAGTGGGTTTTGGGTTGCAGTTTGGGCACTCAGTCTCTAAAAGGTTCGCCATCACTGCCCTATTGGAATTGGATTCCCGGCTAACCAGTTCAACTGTGTTTTCATAGTGGCCAAGCAACCGCACAAGGAAGCCCACTTCTCAGAAAAGGCCTTCAGAGACAGTCACATTGCTACCAGGGCTAATAAGTGATGTAGTGTCTCTGATAATTTGTTCTCTGAATTAGGAATATGGGTAATATTAAAAAAAAAAAACCTGTGTCCACCTAATGCAAAAACGTGTAAGATATGGTGCTTCCTGCAGAATTTCCAAATTCCCATGATCTGTGTACACCTATACAGGTAGTCCTCGACTTACAGCAGTTTGTTTAGTGACTGTTCAAAATTACAAGGGCACTGAAAAAAGTTTTTCAAACTTGTGACTGCTGCAACATCCCCATGGTCATGTGATCAAAATTCAGATACTTCTCAACTGACTCATATTTATGACGGTTGCAGTGTCCTGGGGTTGGTTATATGATCAACATACGCGACCTTCTGACAAGCAAAGTCAATGGGGAAGCTAGAGAGTCATGTAACAACCACGTTACTAACTTAACAACTGCAGTGATTCACTCAACAACTGAGGCAAAAAAGGTCGTAAAACGGGGCAAAACTCACTGAACAAATGTCTCGTTTAAAATTATGGGCTCAATTTGTGGCCGTTAAGTCAGGGATTACTGGTACGGGATGAATTGCTCAATGTAGGAGATGCCTCCGTCACTGGAACACAACTTTTATCGCAAGCAACTTCTTCGTTGAAAATGTCCTGATTTCAATTCAGCTTGGGAGAAGCAAATTGGATACAGAAAGTACAGGTAACCCTCAAATCTGACCACAATGAGGCCCAACATTTCTATTGCTAAGTGAGACATGTATTGAGTCCTGCCCTATTTTACGACCTTTGTTATCACAGTTGTTAAGTGAATCAGTGCAGTTGTTAAGTTAGCCACACCGTTGTTAAATGAATCTGGCTTGCCCGCTGACTTTGCTTGTCAGAAGGTGGCAAAATGGTGATCACGTGACCCTGGGACCCTGCGACTGTCACGAATATGAACCAACTGCCAAGCATCTGAATTTTGATCACGTGACCCTGGGGATTCTACAAGGGTCATAAGCGTGAAAAATGGTCATAAGCCACTTTTTTTCAATGCCATTGAAACTTTGATCAGTCACCAAATGAACGGTTGTAAGCTGAGGACTACCTGTACATGGCAGATTTCTCTATTTCCCCCCCCCCCCATCCACACCTTTTTCACTGTGTGGAGAAGAATGGGCTCTTAAGGCAAACCCGAGGAATCTGTTTCCACCACAAGGGGGCAGGAAGGATCTAGAGATGTTTGAGCAATGGCTGCAAAAAGGATTTGCGATTATTGAAATGCTGCTTGCTCTCCAGTAGACAATCTTAAATTACCGTCCTTTGTTTAAGAGCTGAGACAGCACTCATATACATCCTGCAAAGTTAGGAATGACTTTTTTTTTTTAGAATTAAAAGATATGTATAACTGCACCTAAAATTGTATATATAATTGTATTGTATAGATTGGATGAGGCTTATATAGAGGTTAAGAACGATGTATTAAGTTTTTGTACCATGAGAAACAAACTGTTAGGAAAATTCATTCTGGAATGTCATGTTTGTCCATTTTTGCTTTAATTGTATTATGAATAAAAAATATTTTAAAAAAGGAATGACTTTTTTTATACACCTTCACAAAGCTTTGAAAATGCAGGGCGTCCTTCGTTATTTCTAGGTTCTTAGCTATAGACTGTGTTTTTGCAGGCTCCTGCCACATAGAGAGTCCAACTGGGGAAGATTTGAGTGCACATTTTCTCAACCAAATAAAATGTCTGCGTTCGTGGGATTGTTCTAAGACATCTCTTATGTAAAGATAGATCTTTTGAAAAGATCAGTATATCATCCAGTAAACCACAACGTATTTTTCCCAAAACATCAGGAAATATTTAATGGAGAAGAGTACCCTATAATTAACCAAACCAAAAGTATTACTGTGCATTCAAATTTGTCATGGCTGTTCCCGAATGGTGTTAAATATTTGTGTGTCTCTTTCATTCTTGATCAAAGGGTACGTGTCTCTCAAATCCGACTTCATGAAATAGCATGCCTTCTGAAGGCCGGCCAAGAGATATGAAATAAGAAAGAATGGGTAGAGATCCCTAACGGTTACACACTATTCAGGACCCTCTATAGCAGTGTTTCTCAACCTTGACAATTTTAAGGCATGTGGACTTCAACTCCCAGAATTCCACAGCCAGCAACGCTGGCTGTGGAATTCTGGGAGTTGAAGTCCACATGCCTTAAAATTGTCAAGGTTGAGAAACACTGCTCTATAGGGATAGAAAAATGTTGGCGCAGATGTAAAAGACAAAAAAAAAATCCTTTCTTCAAACTGTTAGGCAGAAATTCTTTTAAAATGGCAAACTCTTGAGTAGATATATATTACCTCTTAGTAGGGAATCTGAACTCCTGGCTTCTGGTTCATTGTACAGTCACATGCCTCAGGAGGGAGGCTATACAGGGCTTCTTCCTCACCTAATAAAGTCCATCTATCCATTTCCTTTTCCCTCAGAAGGAAAATGCTAGTAAATACCAGCCTTCTGAAAGGCTCAGAATGGAGGGGTTTGCTAATGTTTTTGCCAGACTTGAAGTCCGTTATTCAAGCACACCAGGGGTTTCTTCCAGCATTCTCCCCAGTGGGACAGAAAGAGGGGCCGGACCTCCCAGATGTGGTGAGAAGCTCAGGCCCTATCCCCAACTGTCCATTTAATGACCCGAATAGTTGCTTAAAGACCACAACTGAGAGACCTAGGATCATGGTCACTGAGTGAAGCAGTCACGTAGCACCTCACTTAACAATCCCTTCACTCAAAAGATTCCAGGCACAACTGGAAGACTACCTTGAAAAACTAAAACATCTGGGTAATTCATATCAAGACAGACCGAGTTCCTCAAAACCAAATACCACCTTTGAAAACTATTGACCATTACTGCAAATATGTCAACATTACCATGTTGGAGTCAAGGTATCATGTACTTGTTAGCAACCTGTTAGCAACCCAAACCTCACATTTTCTACAAAGTAGAGCTTCTGGACATTCCTCAAGGGTAACTCCATATAAAGTGCAGTACGGTAGTCAAACAAGCCCATTATCTTTTTGAGCATCTTTGTCATATGATACACTAGCCAATAAAAGAGACACTAAGCTAGTCAAGAGTTTCTCGGCTTTTTTCTCCTCTATGTTAAATGTAGAATATTCAGGGACTCTCTCTTGTTTGAGAGATGACAGTCTATACAGTACTGTCTCCCATACTGTACCCCTTCCCTGCCATACCAAGAAAGTAATATATAGTCTTACAAGCAGAACCACAGGAAAGAGAAAGTTATCAGCTCTTTCACAAGTCTGGCAGAATTCTTAGCACTTCCCCCAGTTGCTCAATTATTGAATCAATTTTCCAGCATTCGAAGCTTGTAAGAGAACTACCCACATTGTTTAATCCACGCAGCCTTCTGGGGCTCTGGCTCACTGCCAACTGTTGACTGACCAGCTGTCTGCAACAATTAACTATGGTTGGTGGCATTAGATACCCAACCAACAAAAACATCTGGGGATGCATTTCCCTACTCTCCACGAATAATGGGAGGAGTACATATCAAAGCTGCACCTTGAACAGTGACACTTATACACTCACCCAACACAAGTAAGTCAATAGACCATCCTGTTGCACCATCTCAGCATAAGTGGCAACTGACCCAATCTTAATTATGATCTGTGTGAGTTGAAAGGAAAATCTCTTCAATTGAGGAGTGATTTACAAATGCATGTAAATGCATACTCACAAACATCCACACCCATATATCCATTCTATGCAGACAGATAAAAGACACACTAGCCATTTTAAAGATACTCTGGATGGTTTGCAACGTTGTTAACAACAACAAAAAACCCCAGCAATCAAAGACCACAAACGTCTATCTAAACTAACTTGAAGATGAACTGGATATGATACAGCCTGCAATGAAAAAGTGCCAAAAAGCATTGTGGGGGAGGGGGCAGAACTGGAATACAATAGTATCCAATTAAAAATCAAATTTTATTTTGCTGCCTTAGTTCTACTGCCTGCCACACATGCTGCAACTTTTTACAAGTGTCAAGAGAGGAGAAGAATGAGGCAACATAAGGTTTCATCCTAAAATAGGGATGGCTGTTTCATTGGTCTTGTGAGGTCAGTCTGCTGTGCCTAACATCGCTTGTGCTGGCTTCAAAAAATAACAACAAAGACTTAACCCAACAAGTTTCCTGAAAACTCCCAATCCCTTTCCTTAAAACGTTGCATGCCATCAAATAAAGATGCTACAAATCTATGTTTCAAGGAGAAAACGCACAGTGAGTAAGCAGTGGAAAAAAACATTATCACCCACTTCTTCTCAGAGAAATGATGAACTTCCATGAAAATGTCAGTTTACTATATTATGGTCAGAGGGAATAGCAAAAACCTTAATTTCAGCTCCATTTAAAAATTAGTGGCTGTAATAAATCAGGAAGTGGAACCAGTCCTACCTTTGAAAAAACAAGGACGCTTTGGGCATGTTTTTTTAAACAATTTCTACAATGAGAAATCTATTTCTATAATAGTGTGTGTGCGTGTGTGTGTGTGTGTGTGTGTGTGTGTGTGCGCGCGCGCGCTTGCTCCTTTTTTGCAGTTGTTATTTTGGGGATGAAACCAAAAAAACCCAATGATTGTGAGCAAGGCCCACAGTGCCGAAATGTATTTGTTTTAGCCACAGTCCCAAAGAAGCAGACTAAGCAATTAAAATGCTGCCAGAATTCTCCATGTTGGGAACACAATAGCAAGGAACAGGCTGATGCAGCGTCGGGAATCAGGTATTAATGCACTGCAGTCTGCCAGACATAAAAAGAGGGGCATCCCAAGGTTACAGGATGCAGGTACACTGCCACAAATGCTGACTTCTTGATAATGACGTGTTCTACTTAGAACCCTTGCCCTGCCTACCGTGTCTGCCATTCATCTGGAACAAGAGAGTCAATTGGGTTCCTTAGGCGTCAGAGAAATTAACAAGATGCCCAAACTCTACTGTAAGCAGGAGATGGAATAAGAGTTAATTATAATTGGCACTGACCTGTGAGCAAAGGGCATTCTTGTGGGTTTTCTTGTAAATAAGAGCTGGGCAGATAAAACAGATGAGACTTCCCATCGTTGCACCTGTTAGGCCCAAGATGGTCTCCACTAGCAGAGAAGAGTAAGAGAAAATTATTAGAAGCTTCAGTTAACGGCATATGAATTAGCTCTTCCACTGAAATGATTCAGGGGAAAACTGGGGGCATATGCTCAAAGTCACATAATATGAATTAGATCCCTTTAGCTACTCTCGGTCTAGACTATAAAGAATGAACTTTTCCTGCTTTCTGCTCTGAACCTATCGGTGAAGCAGAGATTTTAATCTACGTCACTGACTGTGATAAAATAAGCACATCAGCAAATGATTAGTTCATAATGTGATGAACTAACGTCTTTAGCTCCATACTTACCATAAATACAGTAGATTAGGATACTACTTCATCCTTAAGTATGCATTAAAATAGAGTGGAAAGCATACCCTTGTCACAATGCTTCTGTTTGATAACAAAGAATGCTTAGGAGGATACTGAAATTATTTTATTTATTTTATTTATTTATATTTCCTATGTCTAAACCACCTAACTTCCTCAGAGGTGGGATTATAGATACTCTAGTTCTAGTATAGATCCAGATATTCATTCTTGTACAAATATAGGATAGGAATAGGCAAGTGATACCCGCGGGAGGACTTCAAATTCCTTAAGCCTTTCCATACTGGATAGGGCTGATGGGAATTGAAATTAAAATCATTCGGAAGGCACAAAACAATTGGAAGACATCTTACTCTGGAGTTCTAACATGGCAGAATCTCGTGACTTGAGAGCAAACAAAAAACCCAAATATTTTCCCCTGGGTGTTTTTTTTTTTTTCTCTTTTCTTTCTATAGCACTGGCACTGGTGTTCTCTAGAAAAGTTATTCAGTGTTTTACCTAAAGTAATATCATTAACACAGTATAATATATTCACTTCTCTACTTGAACCAGTTCCCTGATGAAAAATAACAATATCTCTGCCCCAGACTATAGCTAGTCCTTGACTTACACCCTTACAACCCCAGTTAGGACCGTAGGTTGTTAAGGTCATAAGTTGAGGCACCCACATGACTGGACTTGATTTTTTGACATTTTTGCAGTGGTCATTAAGCAAATGCCACAGTCGTTAAGTATGAAATCCATTTGTCTGAATGAGTGTTTTTTTGCAAAGAACTGGAAAACCCCATTGCAAATTACAGTCACACGATTATGGGATGCGGCAATGATCATAAAGCCTCCAAACTGCAGCCACATGACCGTGGGGATGGAGACATTATATTTTACAATGGTCAGGAGTTCTATACAGGCTGCAAAGTATTTGTTGTGTGCCCATTATAATTTCAAGTGATCATTAAGCAACTGGGTGTAAGTCAAGGACTACCATTGTATAGAACAGTCTTTCTAAATAGGTAGCCGTTAGCACCATATACATATTAAGATATTTACAGGCATCTCAGAAAGGGAAGGTGTAACCAGGCATATTTTTGTCTAGAGATACTAAAATTCAAGACAACATATACAAGATCATACAAATTACTGGAAACAAGAAGCAAAACAAGTTTGAAAATAAACATGAAATAATTATTACATGGTATAAATGTGATCATTCTAAAGGTATTCATAGGTGCAAAGCATGTACCTTTAATGAAAGTTGACTGCACAGACATTTTGGGCTTATTCTAATACATGCTCATATACAGCAACCACATAAATACACATGAGCTTTTAAAAACCAGGGATTAAGAGTCCAAAATTTCCCTTACCATTTGGGATCATGATGCCACCAACCATGGTCCCAAACACAATTGCCAGAGTCAGAGCTTTAAATCGGAGAGGTGGCATGTAACCTCCTGCAGCAAATGTTCCATCTTTTTGCTGCTAAAAAAAGAAAAGATTAATATAACAACCCTATGAATACACATACCTGCAAATTATCAGGGATCTCTTTAGGGACCCTGTAAATTAGAATCTCTTCCCAATATGTTCTCTTGACCAATCATTTTATTACTCTTCGGAAATTATTTACAAAAACTTTAGACTGAAAACTAAAATAATCCAGCCAGCATGACTTAATGACTTCTGAAAAATCATCCCGTATGAAAGATAACAAGCCAATATAACTAATGAAATGCCATATTTTCCATTTGTCTTTTCTTGTTACTTGTAACTCTCATAACTGTTTAAAATTGTCTTTAAAACTTTTTATGTGCTGCAAAATAAATAGTAGAGCAAATGTTAAGGCACTTATATTTCAAAGCAATGTCAGCCATATCACGAATCAGCACAGTAGCGGGCAAGATTCATCATAGCTTCAGCAGGCCAAAATTATTGTACTTGATGAGGTACACAGTGATAATGCCCATGGTAAAAATGGATTATACCACACTGCATTTGAATGGCACAAGATTCAATCATTGACCAGAGATTGACTTTCTTAGGAAAGTGATTACATTTGGGGAAACAAAATAGTAAAACAAAAAAAAGGAGACCAGAGCATCATCACAACAACCGATTATTGGTCTGAAATTTCTTTATTTCTTGGGATATTATGAAACTTTAGGCTAAATTCTACTTCATACCTAGCAGTCAATGGCTGCTGTCTTCACAGGCATAAGACTCATGCTCAGGAAGACCTAATAAACCTACTTGACAGAGTATCCTATACATTACTTCTTGCTCTTTTTCCAGGCATTTCCCACCCCAGCAAAATTGATTCCATGCAAGAGCGAATACTGATAATTGCTTTCTTAACCTAAAAAGGGGGGAAATCCCACTTGTTCCTTTTGCGTGAGATATAAAGAGTGAAGGAGAGAGCAGTGTGAGCACAATTTCTTCAGTTTAGGATAAACTATGGAGAAAAGCCTAAAATCTAGTTTATACAATTTTACCTGCTGCTCAAAAAGAAGCGTATTCAAAGCCTGCCGGCATGGAAGAATCATCATTGGAAATCCAAATGCAACAGACATCATGAACCCCACACGTATCACCTCCGTCACTACATTGGAAGGGAAGTTTATAAGTACATTGCCTTCAATGGCTTCAGTGTAACTCACATAACCAAAGAACCCAACCTGTTCAAACAAGAAACAGAAATTAGTTTCGGAGTGTATATACATTTATTTATTTATTTATTTTTGAAAAGAGAATAAATTTAGGCAACCCTTGGGCCTGCCCCCTAGACTAAGAAATAGCTAGCTTTTTCTCTGATCGTTTAATTAATTATATTCTTCTTATTCCTCCCTTACCTCAGAATGGAATGCTTATCACCCATTCAAATCTGTCTCTTAAGAAAGCTGTCAGGAATATCACATTATCTATAATGTGGGTTTCCCTGTACATTTCCAAATTCCAGAATATGTTTTACAGATGGAATGGGGAATATTTAAAGGAATAGATGTATGTATGTAAATCATGTAATAGATTTATGAGTAAAACATAAAGTTCCAATGTGATAGGAAAATGAGGGTGCTATTAAGTCATTCTGAGCACTTGGCAATAACAATGTCTAGCAACACTTTCCCAAAAGTAAAAACATTACAGTAATTTTAATTTTATTCCCTCATCTTAAATGCATTTTAAGATATTGTCACACATTATCAGGATGGAAACAGAGAGAACGAAGAATCTGTCGAGCTTTCCTCAAACTAGTTCTACCTCTATCACAGAAGGCAAGATGGCAACTGAACTCCAAAGTTCGCCCTTTTTAAAAAAAAAAAATAGGTATGGTAATGTATCCACCAACATGAACTGATCATGCCTGGCCAGGATGAGCTAAGTATTTAACTGGGTTTCATAATGCAACATGAGGGTTTTCAGGTTATTTTCTTCTCAGAAAATAATGTCCTTTATTTCACAATGCAGTACTGGGAGAGTTACAAGCAAAGCTCATTGTTCCTGCCCTGCCCCAAGTATGAATAGCTCAATGGAACTGAGACATGACTACAACTGAGAAATGTAATAACTGCCAAGCATTGCCCAGATAGGCACAAACTGCGTCCCCCCCCCCCCCACAATGCAGCTCCTATAATCCCTTCTAATGTCATTGCTGAGTGTATCAAGCGGGAAACTTATTAAGCTTTAGATGGAATAATCACATAAATTGCATTTAGGACTTTTAATATTAATTCAGTTAACCACTTTTTGGGGTGAAACTTTTGAATCATCACTGAAAAATCAAACAGTGCATACCGCTGGTCTAGATGTACATACATTGTTAGTAATGGTTAAGGTGCTGGCTTAGAAACCAGGAGGCTGTGAGTTCTAGTACCGCCCTAGGCATGAAAGCCAGCGGGGTGATTTTGAGCCAGTCACTCGCTCTCTGTCCAACCCACCCCAGAGGGTTGTTAGTTGTGGGAAAAATTGGAGTGAAAGAATATTAATTATGTTTGCTGCCTTGAGGAAGGAAGGAAGGAAGGAAGGAAGGAAGGAAGGAAGGAAGGAAGGAAGGAAGGAAGGAAGGAAGGAAGGAAGGAAGGAAGGAAGGAAGGAAGGAAGGAAGGAAGGACTTGTCACAATTTTCTTTTTTGGCTCTATCAGAAATGAGTACCTCAACAAAGGACAAGATATTGATGCTTTGTTGCTGAAGCAGACCCTTTCTTTCCAGTATTTCTGTTTTATACAGACAGTTCTGGCAGCATATGCTAATCCATCTTATCAAAATAATTGCTTAGTTAAGATATGGGGAAATTTAAACCCTGTATATGCACACTAATCACACACACCATCTTCCAGCCATACTTAATGGAATTTACGGTTTGCAAATCCTGAATTGGCAGAATAGTTTATAGCTCCTCACAGTTAATTTTTTAAGGACTTTTTTTTTCAGAATATTTTTAATGGGTTTGGTTTTTTTTAATGTACAGAAGTGGACAGGGCAGGAAAGATTTTAAAAATAAACAAATAAAAATTCTCACCATAACATAAAAGGCAGTGACCACCTTTAGCGAGGAGGCAAAAATGGAGCTCATGATTTTAACTGATGGCTCATCCAGACTATCGTAAGTCGGAAAGACCTGGCTGCAAGACACAATCAAACATTGGTTAGAAAATGTTGTCAGGAAGAGAAACATTCAATCCAGTGCACAGTTGCCACTATAAAGGTAATCCCAGCATATCCCCACAAGACTCCTGTCACGCTACAGTGGTTTATATTGCCAATGCCAAGAGATTTTAAACATTCCCAAGTTTTAAGTGTTACACAAATACGCCTGCTCTCCTCCTCTATGCCACTGCCACGTGTACAATGTAAATATTTCGAAAAAAAAGAAGGGGGGAAAAAAATGACGCTGCAACTGGAATGACCACTTGTTTGAGTCAAACAACGGTGGCAGAGCTCCAGAAAGCACCCTGGAGATTATTGCTCTTGGAGCATCCTGGGTTGATAATTAAAGCAATACGGTGTTTACAGAATAAGAAGCAGGGAAGGAGCGAAAGCATCGGATTGTCAAAGAGAAAAGTTAAACAACCAAAACTAAACACTGTGCCTGTCATATTTCAGCACTAATGCTTGAGCCCAAGCTCCCAGAAAACTGAAGGAGCCAATTACACGGGGTTTGGGTGCTTATATAAGCTTGTTCCCAACATCAGGTATATAATTTACTACAGCAGTTTGGAGGTTGCATAGATCTAATTCAGAGTTTGGCAAGGTTTGAATGGTCAGGGGCAGCACATTTTTTTTTTTAATCCAGTAATGTCTAAGTATCATCTCTGGAAGGGGTGTGGCTAAAATTGTTTTGGCCATTTTTGGCTTTGTGGGAAGGTTAAGGATAGCAATGGGAGGGGAAGTTTCCCAGAAGTAAACTACTCCCAGACCAACTCGTAAAACAACATCAAATCCCCCCCCCAATAAATATGTTCCAGCTTTTTTAAAAGAGGATTTTAGATGTAGGGGTGGAAACGGGAGCCTATAAAACACAAATCGCTCTTATTCCCACCTTTAAAACTACCCCAGATCAAATTATGAACTGGGGGGTAAGGGGATATAATTTAAAATCTGACTATAGACTTCTCTTTCTAAGCATTCCCCTGCAAAAGGCAGTCTGAACCTTGAGACAGTTTGGGCTAGTGGTTAAGACACCAGGCTAGAAAGTGGGAGACCGCAAGTTCAAGCCCCACTTTGGCTAGGAAAGGCAGATGGGTGACCTTGGGCCAGTCACTCTCTCTCTCCCTCAGCCCAGCTAAGCTAATCTCACAGGTTTGCTGGAGAAAATAGGGTGAGGAGAAAGGAATGTTGGATATGGGCTCCAAAATGCCACCTTGAGTCATTTGTAAATGTAATAAGGGGGGGGGGGGACATCTATAAATAAAATCAATCCAGCTGGGTTGTTCTTAATAATCCTACTAGGGCTTCAGGAAAAATAAAAAAGGACAAAACCTTGTTATCTTTCTGCTGCAAGCCCAGAATTATAGAACAAACTACATACTAATCCTGAAACACAGCCCGTACCTAGACAGCTTTGCACGTAGGGAAGATGCTGATGAGAAATTCCCTTTTAAAGCCTATGAACCAAATCAGATATCCTGCATTTTAAAAATATTAATAGCAAGCATTGTCCCCTGATTAAGAGAAGGTTGTTTTTTTAATTCCTGTTTTTTTCTTGATTAAAACCGTCCCCACGATTATGATGGATGGGGATTTTTGATTTTTAGTAAGGAGAATCATTTCAGAGAAGGGGGAACTGGGAGAATGGGCCCCTCTTCTTTAGCTCTTTAGTGCCTACCTCACTTTTTTTTTTTTTTTAAAGTAAAACATGAATGTTCATGAATCTTCTTGATTCTACTTGTTCATTCGTTCTGAGGCTGGATGAGTAATATGAAAGTATTCTGTGAAATTCTGGGTATGCAATACAGAATGAAAATAAAACTTTCCTGGCAAAGGACTTCTGACTTGCCTAATCCCAAAGAACAAATCGTAAAATTATTGTTGCCACCATATTCTCCTTGTGAACTTCCCCATGGCATTTGCCTGGATATTGTTGGGAGACAGGGGGCTGGATTAAAAGAGCTTTTGGTCTGATCTAACGAGGAAACTCTTGGGTTTTTTTAAAAAAAAAAGATGGTAGTTCAAAGAGACAGAAGATCAGAAGTCCCTCACCACCCCAGCTTTGTATAAACAGGCCCCAAGACATTTTGGCTTTCCAGACACAGAAGTAAAAGAGACTCTCAAACCCATCAGATGTGCAAGTCAAACCTTCTCTGTCAATCAAGACGCCAAGATGCATAACAAGCAGTGTACCTTGCTGTGCACAGATTTTATTTTTAAGCTGAAATGTCCACCCTGAAGGCCAGGTCAAGATCAACGTATTTGGGAGCAGAAACCTTTGATAAACATTTCCTTATGCTTCAGGGATTCTTCACCACACTTGTAATCACAGAACGCTGCCCTCAGGGCAAACTGAAGAAGAGTATTTAGTCCAAATGCCTTTACATGTATCTCTCTATTTCCAAGATGAGCACAAGGAGGAAAAATAGCACAAGCAAGCACAGCCCGAAATAGTTCTTGGTGAAGGGGGAAAAAAAAGAGTGGTTTTTTTTTTTTGGTGGCCATTTTTCCATTTTGTTAAACATAAACATCCATTGCCTGGTAGAGCTTTGAAAAGGTAAAAGTGCAGGGTTTTTTTTTAGTTTTTTCTGGGCAGGAGAGAACGCTGCTCAGAGAAAAGTCCTAATTCTGCAAAATGCAGACGTCTCAGGACGAAACAGTTGGAATATTTGATCAGAATTAGATAGCATCTTGCTTCATCTGATATAGGCTTACTCCTCCAGCATTATAATTCAGCTGTAAAGTGGGATGTGTCCCTTGTAATTCCCTGAGAGAAGCACATGTATTTATGTACTTCAATATCTAAGGCTGCCTACCAGCCAATGATTCTGAGTGTAGCTACCATGCTATGAAAAAAGACCTGAGGAATTGAATTTTTGCAAATCTTAAATAAAAAAACTGCTCTTCCCCCCAAGAATGATGCATATGGCAAAATTTTTCTCTACCAACTTTTGTTCTTTCCAGCCTCTGTTTTTTTAAATATCTATATCACATTTATTACACCAGGGGTCCCCAACCCCCGGTCTGTGGACCAGTACTGTGCCGCAGCATGCCAGCAACCGGTCCGCACAAACAAGGAAAACCCCATCCACAGGATGCAGGCAGCACACAAAACTACATACTCTCTGGTCCATGGAAAAACCTCTCCATGTAACTGGTCCCTGGTACCCAATATAAAAAGAAAGTTTTTCAGACAGACCTTGGCATTTTTGACTGCTATACTGAGTTCTACTTTTTACAATCTCGTCTGCCTTGCAGCCCCCCAACTAGGGGCATTAAGCAGGCTCAAGTCGCTACTGCAAAACATTTACAAATCCAGATTTCTTTTTCTGACAAAGAGTTAAATACGTTTACTGTATCTAAGTGAAATAAACTTACATGTAATGAAAGAAAAACAGATTTAGAAAGCAAATGGAAAATGCACTTCTATTATTATTTTAAAGATCATTGATTAACGGAGAAATTGGGCCAAATGGTCATAAATGTGGGTAGCCACAGGTAAAAGCAATGCAAAGAATAAGCAGAGTCTTCATTCCCAATTCTTTAATACGCCATTCATATTGCACTAGCAATGACACCAAACTAAGAACCGTGCCAGTCATTCCAGTTGGTTCACATCTCTATACCTCTGGCTGAAATGCCTGATTCAAAGCTTATACCAGTCGAGCTCGTATTACAAAAGAGTTAAGGACAGGGACACTATCCTGAGGTCGTACAGGAAGGCTGCAGCAGAGCTAATGTTATATTTCTAGGCTTCCTGGCTCCCAGCCTCCTATGCAGTCTGTTAAACCATATGCTGCACACATGAGCGGCGAGGGAGAGGGGGGGAAGGGGACGCAGAGGCATTTCTCTTTGAATTTGGCAATGACAACAAACCTTATTGCCAGAGACAGCCAACTCTACAAGCAAAGCATACTTGTGCATTCAGAAGCCATAGCAAGTGGCCAATCAATATCGCATGTTACTTCTTTGCTTCTATCTAACACTTCTATCTTAAAATTTGGGGGTGAATCGACTGAAAGGTCAGTTATTACAAGCCTGGCAACCCCGGCATCCATCCATGCACGACGTCACACAGGCCAAGAAACGTTGTGTTATTCTTGCCCTTGGGAAAATTGATAGGATTTAACTTTCAGTTTGGCTGGCCACACCAGTGGTGTAGTAATCTATATTTAGAGAGATATGTGAATATACTAGTCCGGAACATATAATTTTGCTGTTTCCAACTCCCACCAAATGAAGGTTGGTTGCTGAATGGCCACCACAAGAAAAAGGACAAATTTGGATTTTATAAACCCCCACTGTGGTAACTAGGTAGCTATAAAAGAATGAATCAACCCTTCTGTCACCAATTATAGCAGAGACACTTAAAACTGAGGGAAGCACATTAAATCTGAGAAGCATAATTGGGGGAGTGGGCAGAGGAGGGAGAAGGAGAGTCCAGCTGTATCAAAGCTAGTGCTAACGGTCCATTTTAGGTCCTCAACTGAGCACACACACTTCTATGGTTTCACTGGGCCACTTTTCAGTCCAGCCACAAATGAAAGGGTGGTAGAAGTATTGCTACTAGAATGGAAATGGGAATTATCTGTGGATGAAAGCTTACATCTGCCACAAGAATAAATATGACAACTAAGGGCAGGCATGTGTTATACCCAAAAAAAAAAAAATCTTTTAAGTTCTTCATCCAAAATAAACTATGCCAGCATGCAGCATGGATTTCCATTATTATTTTTTTTACTGACAGACTGAAGGATTGGGGGAAAAAAGAATGGCAGAATCAGAAAACGGAAGGAGGGAACGGTGAAGAATAGAACAAGGGAAACCGTAAGGTACAAAAATATCATTTCTAATGTTGGGAGTTTCTGTATAGGAAGATGCCAGGAACTTACATTTCTAGTCCGATACTGGGAAGTTTTAAAAATTGTGTGTTTGTGTAAGGGATGTGTAAATGTGTTAAATGAGAACTGAAAGATTTGAACCAAATTCTGGAATAGGCTTTGCACTGTGCAACACACCAAAACAATGCCTGGAGCCAACCCCGTCCAACGTCTATAAGGATAAATGGGAGTTTATAATCTAGAAGATCAAACTGACTTAAGAACAATTATCTTTTCCTTAAATATTCTCTGTGAAAACGTTATGTTACAAAGTTGTTCACAAAACTCATCTTAAGCAAACATTGGAAGCCCGCTATGGTAATAATGATCTCTGCTTAAAGTTCTTACATCTCAAGAACAGGGGTCAATACTGTCCCAAGTACCAGACATTAAAGCCAATGGAAAATTACAACGGAGATGTATTTGCCTCCTATGAACAAGAAGCTTTTTAAGTACAATGAGTCCAGAGTGAAATATAACTCCCTCTCCCAGCTAGGTAACAAAAGGGTCACAACCCAGTCAGATGCTATACCTCAGTGGGCTGTAAAATATTTTGATTAAAATCAAGACAAGGGGACCAGATGGTATCTATCCCATACAGGCCATCCTGACCCTTTGCCCTTAAAAAAACTCATTCCACCCCACAATCTCCAAGCAGCTAGAACTGCTGATACTTACGACTGACAGGCAAACGACATGCCAAAGATAGGAATGCAGCGAAAAATGCCCTCCCAGCGTGCATAACTGACCCGCTGTAGCCATTGCCCGACAAAGAGGCCATGTTTGAAAGCAGAGAGCACGATCTGTAGCCAAGGAAAAGAAAAGAGAGGTTACAATCTAGACAACAGAGACACCATGCCAACCCAGGTTGCATCAGCTTTATCGGCAACCGGCAAGCAGCAAAGAGACAGTAGAAGCTCACAAGCAGATATTTCACCACGCCACATTTCCTAGGTCTGCATCACAGCGCACCAAATGTATGGGAAATCTGGGGTTTCTGGGTCCTGAAGGAAAGGGCGGTGCAAGAATCGCTTATCCTCCAACTGAATGTTCTCAACTGGGATGCTTGATAAAATATGCAAATCCCTTCACTGGCATTTAATCGCTTCCATTTCTAGTATTAAGTCCTTTCAACAACTTTATACATTTCCATCTCCTAACCAACCACTCTTTTTCAGGGGGCTTTGTAATAATGAGCTCTCCCAACTTTAGCAGCCAACAGCCTCCCAAATACACTATGTGTTCTAAGCCCCCAGCACCAGTTTGGCAAGGAAGGAACTGTACTGCACGTTGCTCTTCCTCTAGACGCCTGCCACCTCCTTCTCTCTTTTAAATCTGCTACTTCTGGCAAGGCGGTTATAGTATATCCCCTAATTTGAACTGCTAACTCCAAATGCAACTGTTGCATGGAAGAAAATTGTTTTTCTATGCTGGTCTCTCCTTCCCTCCTTTCCTTATCTTTCCTTCTTCCCTGGCCTCCCATCCCCATCTTAGAATAAGCTGCCTACTGGGAGGAAACAATATTATTTGTTTTTTTTTGGGGGGGCAGGGAATTATATAACTCTTTAATATCCAACTGAGCAACCCAGAAAACACATAGTTGGTACATAACAAAAAGAAAGTCCATTTTGTTATAAGCTTTATTACAAGGCACCGTTTTTCATTTGGCCTATTATCAAGGTAATCCGAGATCATTACATGTTGGGTGATGGAAATGGAAATGACAATGTGTGTGTCATGGCACAAATAATGCAAGTAACATACCTGCATAAGATGTCAGCCTCTAGTCCAGTGGTTCTCAACCTTTTTAATGCCGCGACCCCCAACCGATCATAAGTCGAGGACTACTCAACCGGTCGTAAGTCGAGGACTACTCAACTGGTGCAGCACCGTTTGCAGAATGGGATTTTTGGCGGGCTCAGCAGGGCAGAGACAGCCTGGACAATTCCTATTGGCTTTTGAAAGCCAATAGAATTAGACTCTATTCAAGAGGGTCTATTCTATTGGCTTTCAAAAGCCAATAGAATAAAAGGGAGTAGCACAGCTAAGGAAAAGGGGGGGAAAATGGCGGACTGCGTTGTTTGGCGACCCCCGTGAAATGGTCGTTCGACCCCAAATGGGGTCCCGACCCACAGGTTGAGAACCGCTGCTCTAGTATATAACTGTGTCAGATGGCTGCCAATATTATGGTCCCTGAATCATTATTTTGATATCACTGGAGCTTGTTAAGGATGCCTATGTTTTCTGCTTCTAAATTGTAGCTTAAGAAAACACGGCACTATACCTCTTACCAGCTTGGCTGATGTACCAACTGCACAAGTATTTACAAAAGGGAACCGTGAAGATGGCCATTACGTGACTCAGGGAATGCCAGCCAAAGATGCCCACCTATCCGTAAGTATGGAGGAGGTAGACCCAAAACTAGCATTCCCTGGGCAATTTGCCCTCCTATGAATAGTGAGCCATTCTTAGAGCCTTCAGGACCTTTCTAAAGAAGCCCCCGAGTTCTAGCTGATGGAAACAACTGGTGCCACATGTCTATATGTATAATTATTTCATATAATCAAATGCAAATATATGATTATAACCTACTGTATGTGTTTATTCTAGCGCTGAGGCTCAGCTGTCCCTTTTTGCGCACCGCTGAAGAGTCTTTTAAGCCTTTTAAAGTCTTTTCAAGTCTTTAAGCCTGAGGCCATTTCAAACGTTCCTAAATAAATAAATGGTATTCCCAAACAAAGATGAAAATGGCCAGAGAGACAAGATAAAGCAAGGAATACCTAGGAACAACATCAGAGGTGAGAAGTTGAAAGAAACTGAGGAAGGAGCCTTACTGCAGGGGAATTTTGTTAGCGGCCTCTCTGGCAAATCGTCAGTGAGAAAGCTTTGAAGGAAGCATTTGATTAAACACTGTGAAACAAAAAGTGAAGGAAGCATTAAGGGGTTCCTCTGACAATCTGTGTGGCCTAAGATCCTATTGTATACACTACTATAAAAATGCTGACTTGCTGGAAAATGAGGACATGGCAGGATCTCCCTGGAAGAATATATAACTTTGAGTAACATATGGGAGACACATTCCTGGGCCTGTGGTTTGCACATAAGAGCAAATAGCATCCCTGTTACTGGTAGTGGTCTTCCCTTACTAGGTAGTGCCAATAATCGAGAAAGCTTTTCAAACTAAACCCTAAAAAGTATGAGTTGTTGCCAACAAACAGACCAGGCCTCCTTTTAAAGGTCCTCGGAGAGCCCACCCACATGAAAAGTTTGGGCACCCTGGAATTTAAATACACACCGTGGTTTCCCACAAAGGAATTAACCACCAGACTGAAGAAAACAAAAGCTTCCCATCATTAATACTGACCACAAACATAAACACCGTATAGAAAATGAGAGCCATTGCGCTGAAGGACTGTATGGAAGCCATCATGTTTCTCTGGAGACTCAGCGGGAGCACAATGCAGAGGGAGATGAAAAAAAGCAGGAGGATCCGGAATACGCCGCTCACCTGAAAGATGAACATGAGGAACAGTTACATCAGCCTTCTTCAATCAGATGTCATTCACATGTGTTGCACTTTGACTACCACACATCAAGGCAGGCAGAATTACACAGGCAGCACTCCCAGGAAGAAAATGCATTCAAAATTAACATTCTATGCCCATCCACTCTGCTGTAGACCAAGGTTAAGACTCCCTCTGAAAACAAATAGAAGGGGGAAGGAACTGGAACGTCAAGAAAGCTGCTTCTCACAGAGTGTCTGTGATGAGACCACACAGACACTGGGTGCCACTGTTGCTCTATGAAGTACTTATCAAAACCATTTTACAGCAAAGGCTCGCTGCCTGTTTTAAATGGTAATCCAAACACAGTTATTTGAATATCTTTTATGCACTTCCAGCAAATCAAATGAAAACTAACTTTGCTGTAAAAAGGGAAACGATGGGAGTCTTGGAAATTCTGACCCAGAAAATTAACCAGCAGCTTTTTATATTTATTATAGCAGGAAACTTGGAAATGCCTCAAAATATTTAATACCTAATTTGGCTTTGCTTATGATGCATTTTTTTTTTTTTTTAGCTGCTTAGGTCCTTAATCAGAGCTTAACTACATCAGGCCAGAGCAGATAAAAACCATGCCTGAATGCTACTGAATGTCCATTGTAGCTTTCCTGGCTTTTCTCTCCTCCTAAAGGGTCTTCTTTGGTTCCTATTTATCCATTGGGAATTAAACTGCTCCTGCATGGAAAAGGCCAGCAGCAGATATGCTATCAACCCTGCACTTTCTTGACCTGGTTTGCCAGGTTATTCACCATCGTGTTGTATATTCCTACTTGACAGTTTGAGATTAACAAATGAGCTGATAGATCCGAAGATATAAATCTACAAAACCCTTTTAATTTACCCAATTCCATCCCCAGAATATTTGATACTACAAACTTTAGCATCTCAAATTGGAAGTTCCCTGTTGACTGCTTCAGCATCCAGTAATAGGTCCAGTTCTGCCTTGTCTTGTCCTCAAAAGCATGATAAATCTTAGAAGAGGTGTGAATTATCCTTCCCATAATTGGTAAGGATTGGTAGGTAAGATCAGTCATAAATGAAATGGCTACGTAAACTAAAAGCAGAGACAATCTTGCTGATAAATTATGAGAAATATACAATAGAGTTAAGCAATTTTCTGTTTTGCAAAAGCTACTTTGTTTTTATTAAACAACCATAATACTGAAATTTGAAATCAGTTTTAAATACCATCTGAATAATCCCATTTCTGCTAAAAAAAAAAAAAGAAGCAGCATCCTAAACTTCTGAGATTTCTTAATTCTCCAGCATAATTTAATGTACAAAGGTTAGTCACATTAATACTGCCATTGTTAAACATTTGAAGTCATTGCTAACATACTGCAAGTCAGTATGATTTACACACATGATCCTGGTCTACCTTCACCCCATCTTGATGAATAGGAAATACAAACATTTGGGAAGGAAGGAAGGAAGGAAGGAAGGAAGGAAGGAAGGAAGATGTGTGTGTGTGTGTAAGAGAGAGAGAGAGAGAGAGAGAGAGAGAGAGAGAATACTCTTAGGAATGAACCTTTATCAATAAATGCACCTAATTAGCCTTGTGGGGTAGGCTGCTCTGCAGTTTGTGTACTGGCTATTAATTTTGAAAATGGCAGGAAGCTTGTATATACTACCTCAACACCATTCAGACAAGCTTTCAAATATGACTTATGTTATCAATAATAGAGAATATCTGTAGCTCAAGGTTGGACTGTGGAGTCCCTGGTACTCTCTGAGATTGATTTTCTTCCAGATATTTCATTACCCAACTAGGTAACATATTCAGTAGTAGCAGTGAAATCAGGATTCCATATGTCCTATGTTATCCTATGTATAGATATGAAAGAGGCACTGATCTAATTTGCTATTGATAAGGTCATTAAAAAAGCAAGTTTACCTGGAGTCCCAGTGATCGAGCAAAGAAATTTGATCCTAGGTCTCCAATAACAACATAGAAAGCTATGCAGGTCCCCAGCATCAATCCAATCATACTGTAAAAACAAAAAGGACTGGTCATTCTAGAAAAATGTGAAATAAAACTGTTATTTACCTATGTGCTAAATGCTGAATTCATATGGGATCTATGTTCGGAAGTTCTCTAAATATAGCCATCTTCCACTGCCAATGCCCTAGATGACAACAGTCTTCTCACCATCTTGCAAACAGGACAGTTTCAGAAGAAACATTAATTATGTATGCTGAAGGGTATCTCTCCCCCCCCCCTCCCAATACCAAGGTGCTGTTTTCATGCACCTAATGTGGGCTCCTACAAACACAGTGGAGAGAAATAAGTTGGAAACCATACACTCATCTCAATTGCACTAGGATTTTGGTATCACCAGATCTAAAGAAAATGTATCTCAAGGGAAGGAACTAACCACTGAGACATGACTGGACTCCAGAAAAACTATATTTACTAATGGCTGCTGGATGTTAATAGTAACATATTGATGCCATGGCTTGGCATGCCTCAAGAATATTGCTAGCAGCCAATACTGACTAAAGGGGCCTGCACATATTAATGATTCTAATATTAACTATTACCTTCCAGAATCCCCACAGGCTACCTAAGCATTCCAAAGAATCTCCTGCACAGGCTAGGTGGCCCAGCATAACATCTACTGCCATGTCTTCTTCCTCTCCTTTGTAGGCCTGGAATGAAGCACTTCTCAATTTCATTCTCATGTGGCACATTTTAATGAGGTAGCCTAAAACTATTTTGCTTCTCTGCAGATATGGGGATAGATTGCTGCATCCATATGAAAAAGTACTGATAAACATTTAAAAAAAACAACAGTGTTTCTCTATCCACCAAAGTAGTATTATTTTTAGTGTATGTTTGTTCCATCTTTCTATTTCTGTTTGTGCTTCTTTGTGCTATATTGTACACTTCCAGAGTAATAAGCAAATTGGGGGGGGGCTTAGAAACCTTCCCTTCCCCTTCCTTCCTTCCTTCCTTCCTTCCTTCCTTCCTTCCTTCCTTCCTTCCTTTCCTTCCTTCCTTCCTTCCTTCCTTGTGCAGATATCAAGATACATACAACTGTTTTAATGCAATGAAACTGTTTTATAAAATAGTTTCAGGTCAAAAAGGAAATGTGAGGCATTAGCTGAACCAGACTTTAATAGAAGAGACAATAAGCATCCAGTCAGCAAGGAGATTGCTACATATCAGCAATGTATGCTTTTCCAGATAGAAGATGTAAGGTTTATTTAGGGAGAAATATATTACTCATTTATTTACTTTCAGTAAAGGACATCTGTATGTACAAGTAGGGATGTTCATGTGCATGTAGGTGAGTGAGAAACATATTTAGAATAGTCTAGGGAATTCCATCAAGTATACAATCAAAGTCCAAACAGAAGCCAATACTTGCTCAGTGAAGAGTGGATTAGGCAGCAAGTCAGACAGCAGTTTAATTAGGACATCATTCCTTCAGCCTCCTGCACTTTCCCTGTCACAAAAGCATGGGCCGCTTCCCCTCTCTTTTCTGACTGCATAGGACCCCAGTGGCACTTATAGCAATTGCGAACATGAGAGAGTAATGGCAATGAAGTCCGGAGAATATTTTTAGGCATCTCTCGAAACAGTTCAAAGCTGGGTGATACCGTAAAGAAGCAGGCCAGGATCACATGACCAGACAACTCATGACAGATGACAGACTGAGAATCTCTGTCATAAAAAGCAGCCCATTCGTATCAAACTATCATCCAAGTCAATGCCTCTCCTTATTTTGAGAAGCATAATATAGGGAAAAGGTCGAAGTTCCTCTTTTAAAATTCAAGCTTGTTGTGAACAATGCTGAGAATCTGTTAGGGACATTTCCCTTTACAAATGAAAAGTTATTAGAAGAAGTGCGGGTCTTCAAATGATGGCAGGAGCATCATGCCATATTATTGTCAAGAAACCCATTAACGTGGGACCAGTGTTATTCGTGTTCTACAGAGATGGAAATAACCACAAACAAGATAAAAAGACACTACTGAATTATTCACAGCTCTCTCCTTCGACTGAAGTGGGACCACTCAACTGTTTTCCCCATGTGAAAAACCAGTTCACAACATGATTTATAGACTTGGATGGGCAGCAAAGATGTTTATGCATCCTGAGCTTTTCAAGTGGAATACTGTCTTCAGCATGAAAATACTGAAGCTGAAAATACAGCTCTTTATGCCAACCACCTTAACCAAATTTGTGAGAAAAAAAGTGGAAACAAAAGATTAAGAACGTCTTTAACAAATGTAGGGAACTGCCATAAGATTACAAGGGAACAACTGTACATGTACTATATTGTCATGGTTGAAATGGCTAACTGGATACATAGAAAATGGAAGGCCTACATATCTATAATGCAGACAATTCATTCTCATGAGTAAATACCTTCTGCCAATCAGAAGTACTGTCTTACAATGTTTTGTCTGAACCTTTAAGTATGTTTCTCTCCCAGCATTCCTGGCAATTCAGCGCTGAGGGCTAAAGAAACTAGGAAGAGCTTTTAAAAAGTGGACTTGGGGATATATATTATCTGCTTTCCCTGCCATACTTACCCCTACCTGGATAAATATGCCAAGTTCACAAAAGGAGATATTCAGTAGAAAAAGAACATGAAACTATAGACAAGATACCAGAACATCAGGGATAAAAACAACTTGTATATTAAACAGTTAACAAAAATTTGAAATACTTGAATCTTGAGCAGCAAAAGGAGTAAAAAAAAAATAAGTACCTGGTTTCCACAAGCATTTTACCAGATTTTCCATAGGCGTGGAAGGCTAGAAGGAAAGAAAAAGTGAGGAGGGGAAAACACATTATCACAATTTGTTATTCAAACATGTGTTCAAAACGTGGCATGTATAAAACGAATATCACTCAGCAGAAGCAACTCAGAAGGCAGGGTTTGCTAGTTTGGTTCCATCCCACCACCACTTTGGGCCTCCCCCCCCCCTTGACATACCATTCACAAATCAGAAGCCACATGAAAACAAATTTGGAAGAAAGATTCAAAACAGGTTCTTCTTCCCTCCTTCACCCCCCCTTCCTCCCCAACCCAACAGCACTAAGTAGGAGTTACACATGGTAACCATTAAAAGAAGAAAGGCAGCACTGAAAATATGCGAGCCTTAAGAGATTGAGTGGCTCGAAGTTACTGCAGTGCAAAATTTCAGTGGGGTTCCCGATTTTATTCCTTCCTGCCCCTTTGCAGATGAACCCCTTTGTGTTGCTGAGGGGAGGACCGAGATGGGTGCCCAGAATGCTCAACCGCCCTGACCGTATCCAGGATTCACCACCACACCAAAGGGATTTAACCGATAGAATTTTTTTCCCCCCCATTTCATACACTGGTCGTTGGTTGCCACACAAAACAATCAACATCCTTGAAATCACTGCTGCTCTGGAAAGCTCAGCTTGCATTTTCAAAAGCCATTTGACTATGAGGGTAAGAGGAAAATTACCACCTCCAATTCCGAGAGAGAGAGAACCTTTTTAACTGGAACCATTACTAATGCCACATTCATGTGAAATGTTTACAGAGGGCAGCTGGCTTTCAACCTCACTTTGCAGAATGTACTTATTCTCTTGGGGAAATCGGTGTTGTTTTTTGTCGTTGTTTAAAAAAAGAAAAAAATAGTTACCCCGGTGCAGGAATGTAACAGAAGAAGGATAAAGGCAAGAGAAAGCATCTCCCTCCACAACATAAGACGCCAAGGATAAAGTCTCCTTAGAAATCAATTTCTCAATTGAAAAAGAATCACTGGTTTTCAATTAAAACAAGTAAGAAAACAGAATACAACAAAGGCAGGCCCACTGAGGAAAATGTCCTTGATGGTTCATCCTCCGTAAATCTGTAGGGAAGGGGAGGGAGGACGGAAAAGTCATTCGAATTTATTTCAAAAGAGAATTTTGATGCAAGCCCAGTTTAGCTGAGAGTGGCAAGTTGGCTGGCCATCACAAACCTGGATGCTCAGTTATGCTTTACTTTTCATATGCTGTCGTGTTCCAATTCCAATTTAAGTCTCAATGACTAGCTTTCCGAGGAAAGTATTTGTGAATATCAGTTTCCTATGTTCTTCTTTGCTTTAAAAATGTTTGTGAATGTATACATTTTAAGTACAGAGCAGACTTACTTCCCTGGCTCCAATATGGAATAGCCAGAGAAAAATTAGTCCCAAGAGCAAACTTGTAAGTGAAGCCTTAAGATAAATTTTAATGATTTGTTTCCACAAATTATTGGGGTGGGGGCTCATACGTTTTAGATTCTTGCTTTCTCTGGCCTTATAAAAGTCTAAACATACAATCCAGAAGGGATTAGCAACTCTGTTGATTTGAGAATCTTATCTTTACATGCTTTCGTGGAAGAAAGTAAAAAGAGCCAAAATAACCAAATGCTGGCAGGGAAAGAAATTTGCCCAAATTCTGCCTCCCTGCCTCTTTCCAAAAAAGACAAAAAAAAAAAAAATCTGACAGAGGGAGTCATTTGTTTAATATTCAAGGTAGAGAAAGGGGTTTAGGAAATTTGGAGAGTAATACTAACAGTTTTGAGTAAGTCACACACTCAAGAGGTAGTTCATACATTATCTGATTATGGAAATTGTTACTTGCATGGGTGGTCAATTTGCATGCTCAGTATAACTTCATGGGAGGTCTTTCCAGAAGATCACAGTAGCTACTTGAGTTAAATGGGTGTGCTGGAAATGAGAAATCTGGGTTTTATTCTTCGTGCAAGTAGCCACTGGGATTGTCTATACAAATGTTCTCTGGCATTCTATTGTTCACATGAAAAAAAAAAAAACTGCTTGTGAGCAGTTATTTAAACATGTAAGCCAGACCATCTAACCTCCCACTGATGTTTAGGAATAAATGCCTGCTTTTGTCATAAGAAAAGGAAGAACCTACTTGACCAAGTCCTTAGGAATAAACCCAGCTGTAAATACAAGTTAATAAACCAAATTCATTCATCTGTGCATGCTCAAGATCATCATCATTTCAGATTTTCGTTGGACATCTCATCGGTGTCAGAAGAAAACCAACTGACCACTAGACAATAGCATGAGAAATAGCAATCTTTCAGAAGAGAATTTGGAGTTTTTAGAGTAAAGTTAGGGGGGAAATTCTTAACTGGAAAAGTGGTGGATAGAATAAACAGAAGGGTTCTGACAGAAACTAGAAATAACTAAGGAGAATAATGTTCTACGACAGAGGTGAGGAACTATAGCCCTTTTCTGACTTGTGGACTTCAACTCCCAGAATTCCTGAGCCAGCTCAGAATGTAGTTGAAGTCTACAAGTCATAAAAGGGCCATAGTTCCCCACCCGTTCTAGGTCCTAGGACAGTGGTGGCGAACCTATGGCACACGTGCCAGAGGTGGCACTCAGAGCCCTCTCTGTAGGCACGCGTGCCATGCCCGGAGATGGCAACTGTCCTCTTCAACCACCCACCCGCTAACTCGCCAAGGTCACACATGCGCTCGCTGGTTTCTGTGTGCGGGGGCCAATGGTGTCAGGCAGCAGCCACCCCAGCCCCTGCCTCACCTTGCCCTGCAACAATGGCACCCCCGCCCTGCCTCGCCTTGCCTCACCACACCCTGCACGACGAGCCTCCTGCCCACCGCCCCATCCACCAAAGACCCACTGGATCTCCCCAACCTTGCCTGGCCCCCACAGGCATCCCTCCCCAGGAACAACATCAAGCTGGCCACGCCCACCCATCTGCCATGACCACTGTAGCCATGCCCACCCAGCAGGCCATGCCCACCCGGCACACGGCGATACATAAGTGGTTTTGGGTTGCAGTTTGGGCACTCAGTCTCTAAAAGGTTTGCCATCACTGTCCTAGGAGGTCAAGTTATTCCTACTGGCTAGTACCTACGGTAGCAAGTGATCATTACAATCAAGATGCCACACTAGGGATGATACCTTTAGATGCACTGGACTACCAGACTATCCCTAGCCACTATAACCATAACAGCATTCTGATTACTTGTGGTTGGTTAATACTATACTCCAATCCTCTTAAAAGGTGTCAAGTTGGAAGAGGTTGCCCTCTAGTTGATAACTGTGGACACATTTTTTTTTTTTTTTTGCATTTATCAGATCTTTCGTCTGAAAGTTCAAAGTAGAACATATGAGGGTTCCCCTCATTATATCTCCACAGCAACTATCTTGTATGGTACATTAGGCTGAAAAAGAGGGACTGGCCCCAAGTATCCAAAGAAGCTTCATATCTGGGTGAAGATGGCTTTCAACTAAGTTCACACCCAAAGTTTAAGGTGGTCAGATAGAATGGGGAGGAAAATATTAAGCTTTAGTCTCATATATTAAATATGAATATCTATCCCAAATGTAACTTCATGCCCTCATATCTCTTTATTGCTTTTTAACAATTTTAGTCATACAGAATTCTATATTCATGGTTAATAATGATTCCAGGTAAATAAGAGTTTTATGTTTTTAACTGCTAAAACTGCTAGTTAGCTTATACCAAGTTAAATATATAAATAAAAGTAAAATAACCTTCCAAATCTCCCAACATCTACTTATAATGTATAATTAAAATATTTTCAATCAAAGTAAAATATATTCATTATAGCCTTTACAAATGAGCCCAAAATTGCCTAAGCAAGACAGATGTTAAGTGAGCTTTGCCCCATTCTATGAACTTCCTTACCATAGTTGTTAAGTGAATCATTGCAGTTGTTAAGGTAGTAACATGGTTGTTAAGTGAATCTGGCTTCCCCAGGGGGCAAAAGGTGGCAAAAGGTGATCTCATGATCTCATGACACTGCAACTGTCATAAAGACATGCCAGTTGCCAAGCATCCAAATTTTGACCAGATGACCAGAGGGGATGCTACAATAGTTGTGTGAAAAATAGTCATGTCACTTTTCCCAATGCCTTTATGACTTCAAACAGTCACTAAATGAATGGTTGTAAGCCGAGGACTACCTGTACCATTATGTATGTGTTAGGCATTGTACACATTTACTGTATACCTGGCCTGTTTTATTTCATACACCTTTAAGGCAGTGTACCCAAAGCAGCCCCTCCCCATCTTTTTCCACTGAGGTGCTAACCAGTCTCAGATCTCTTCAAATTCAACCCAAGTAGCCAAAATGAGAAAGCAAGCTCCAAATCTGGTTCTAAATAAAATGACTTCACCCTTTTAACTTCATCCAAGACAGCTAGATTCCACCTTTGCTGTACCATTAAGAGGAGCAGCTGCAGCGCAGCCAGCCCCATTTCTTGAAATGGACTTTCTTTCAACTTGGCAGTATGTGGGGAATTGTTAAGCAAAAGATAAGATAAGGTAAGGTAAGGTAAGGTAAGATAATAAGATAAGATAAGATAAGATAAGATAAGATAAGATAAGATAAGATAAGATAACCTTTATTGTCATTTTTTTACTGTGGGCACAACAGCACACATCCAAAATGAAATTTAGTTGCCCACTCTCAAAGTGAAACAAAGTGATGGTGTACAGCAGAGGTTCTCAACCTTTTTAATGCCGCGACCCCCCAACCGGTCATAAGTCGAGGACTACTCAACCGGTCGTAAGTCGAGGACTACTCAACTGGTGCAGCACCGTTTGCAGAATGGGACTTTTGGCGGGCTCAGCAGGGCAGAGACAGCCTGGACAATTCCTATGGGCTTTTGAAAGCCAATAGAATTAGACTCTATTCAAGAGAGTCTATTCTATTGGCTTTCAAAAGCCAATAGAATAAAAGGGAATAGCACAGCTAAGGAAAAGGGGGAAAAAATGGCGGACTGCATTGTTTGGCGACCCCCGTGAAATGGTCGTTCGATCCCAAATGGGGTCCCGACCCACAGGTTGAGAACCACTGATGCACAGGGTTATTTCTATGTCTGCAAGAACTGTTCTAGAGCAGCGGTTCTCAACCTATGGGTCACGACCCCATTTGGGGTCGATCAACCATTTTTCGGGGGTCGCCAAAGGCGGCGATCCGCCATTTTCTCCCCTCTGGGGGCGGCGCCGCGCATGCGTGCCGCGCATGGGGGCGCCGCCGCGCCGCGCATGCGCATAACGTTTGTGTGACGGGGGTCACCGTCACACAAACGTTGAGAACCGCTGTTCTAGAGTATTAATTAAATCTTTGTTACAGTCACAGACCAGCATAATTTTAGAGTAAGGACATTCTGGTTTTCACATATACAGGAGAACCTGGATTCACAAAGATAAATTGAGGTTGGACACTGTTGTTATAACTTCCACATCTATGCCTAGAACATACACAGGCAACATTAAAGGATAAGTTATTTTAAATTATCCTTTCATAGCTCCACAATGGTTTAAAAATAAATGTAAAACGCATAGTTCTTAGTTTCTAACAGACAAACACTGCTGATTTGTTGGACTCATAACAAATGTTCCTTCACCCTTCAACCCCCTTCCAAATAATGTTTAGAGGTGTTTTTGTTTATTCCTATTGTTTCTTGGCTGCTTTGGCTCTCGTAGCCGAAGCTTTGAATGTTCTTCCGGAAGACGTAGCTTAAATTAAGTTAATTTGTAAACCATTCATGCATCCTTCAAAGCTGCCAAAGCCTCCCACAGAATCAGCTTAGGTTCTGCCAGGATCGCTTGCAGCTGGACCGGTGTAGAAGAAAGGCAATGACAAAGGCTGCTGTGTGTAGTTGCTCAACCTTGATGCATCAGGATGACTCTAGCAGTAAAGCCTTCCCTTGGGCTAAGAGATGCCTTTTTCCCAGGCATTCTCCCCACTTTGGCTGATGGCATCTCTCCCAGGGCAAAGGCAGGCAAAAAAAAAAAGGGGGGGGGGAGCTATTTCTTTCCGCACCAATGTTTATGTGCCAGAAAGTTTGGAAGCATTTACTGACCCTTCTGTGTTTCTAAGCTGCTTAGTTTTAGAAAGTGAAGGGAACCTCTTATTCCTGGCAGACAACCCAAGGTAAACAGGACTTAATGTATTCAGTCAAAAGGGGGAAGCGTATAAAGACTTATTGTGACACAGAAGGGGAAATCAATGATTACGGGCATCTGGTGTTAAGGAGGAAGAGCTACATCTGATCCCCCTCTTCCTCTCCCTCAAGAGAAAAGAGTTATAATTAAGCATATATTTTGCCATTAAGGTTTAACCTTCAAGACCAAAGGTCTCGTTGGTTTTTTTTTTTCTTGCTGCCAATGGACATTATTTTGCAATGCTTACACTGTGCAGCTAAGTGAGGTAGCCTCGGGCAACAGAGGAACCGGGGGGGTAGCCGTCTTTCAGCAGTCACTAAGGAGACTGCACACTGCTTTAAATCCTCCTTTCAGCAGAGAAACCAGCCAATTCCCCACTCTGACTCCCCAAGAGGCACCTCAGGAAACACATGATGGGGTTACAGCTGTGGGAGGGGGGGCAGAAAACAGCATATCCTGTCATGAGAATCTTTCACCTCTGCCACACACACACCCCCCAGACAAACTCCACCTCTGCAATGAGCAAACTTTAAACGGGCAAAGGCATTCGCCCTTCTGGAGCAGCCGCTTAAAAGAAAAGTTTGAGAGAGAATATCCCACTGCGGCTCATGACTTATTTTCCAGCAAGAGAATGCATACCAAGCAGAAATGTTTGACTCCTCAAGCCTGGCCACGTATCTGCTCTGCTCCGCTGTTCCACCCACCCACTCGCCCACCCCTCAATCTTTGGGAATCAGAGGAGAGGTCAAAAATAGATGGTGATCCTGGTGCCAAGACCTAACAGCGAACTAAGAGGAAGAGGACTGCTGGTCCTTGCCAAAAAGCCACACATGAATCTTGCAGATGTTTCAGTGTTCTTGGCTGCTTGAAACTTGGAACACTGTTTCCCTTAACCTCCCCCTTAAGCTGCCATAAGCACACTCTCCAAGAAGACCATACTAGGGTCTCTATTGGCAGAACCCAACATCCTCAATAGTGTGCTGGGCAGGGGAAGTGAGTGGGTTTGAGCAGAGGCCAACAATACATGAAGAACCTGAACCTCTGTTTGGACCATTCCCTTCGTCTTAGTCCACTGAATTGAAGCATCCTACATCATTTTTGAAGAATTAAATCTGTACACTAAGAATGTTTGCTATAGAAAGGAGAAGAGAAATATTTGGTGGCGTGGGGAAGGGACCCATTTTATACACTGTGAATAATTCAGCCGTACCAGTATGAAGGTGTAAATTAGGAAACGGGAAGGAAAGACTGGGATGAAACCACCCTCAAGTTGAGCATGCTCACCTAGTCCAGGATAGGTCCTACGTTTGCTGACATTGGCTGATTTCACTAGGAACATACAGGATTGATGAGTCATCCAGGAACAGAAAACAAGCAGCAGGGCTCCCAGAAAGATGCCACACTACAAAATAGAAAGGGGAAATTGTATAAATACTAAATAAATAATCAACACTCACCCCACCACAATTCAGTTCTTTTTTTCTGTATTCTTACTGCCGTTCCATGTCACCCAGAGGCTGCCAGGGTTTTATTTGCAAGCACACAACAGCCTATTAAAGGAGATTCCCTTACTCCTGAGCAAGAATCAGCCAAAATGTGAAATATGAACTATCTTTTTTTCTTTCTTTCTCTCTCTCTCTCTCTCTCTCTCTCTCTCTCACACACACACACACACACACACAAACACACACACATACGTTTATGGCAAAGACATAGAGCAACCACCTATTTACTAAATGGTTCAGTTGCAGTAACTCCTTGCTTGGAAAGAGAAGCCAAAGCAATTTATGGAAGAGAAAAACCTTCCTGCCCTGCTATTGTGACACGTTTTGGGCCCATTCCAGAACAGTGATCTGTCTCTAGCTACTACTACCAGATTCATATTAAACAAGTTAGCATGCCTGTTGATCCAGGGGTTTGAACTCCTTTGTACGAGTAAAACTGGCTGTTCTATCCACTTACAGCATAAACATAAATTACCCTGTTAGCTACCTGTCCTGAAAGCATTGTGCCGGTTTGCTCTCTAGACACATTTGCAGAGGAAGTGGAAGAAGTTTGGGGGAAAGAGGGGGAGAGAACCTGAATGGCTGAACATTTATGAAAACAATGCATGACACCGGACAGGAACAAGTGGTGCTACATTTTAATCATAGCTGCTATTTGTTCTGTTTTAATCAAAGGAGTTGCAGCTTTTGGAGCTTCTGGCAACCGTATGCATAGCAAACCAATGACCTATTCTACGGACCCTTTAAATCCAAAGAGTGGGAAAAGCCTTTTTCTTCAAGGGAAGGTTTATTGACATCAGTTAGTAGCTCTGGTATTGGTATTAACAACCAAAGCCTTCTGAATGTTCCTTAAAGTAGAGGTCTCAAACCTTTTGGGCACCAGGGACCGGTTACGTGGAGAGAGGTTTTTTCATGGACCAGAAGGGGCGTGGTTTTGTGTGCTGCCTGCATCCTGTGGATGGGGCTTTCCTTGTTTGTGCGGACCGGTTGCTGGCATGCCGCGGCCCAGTACTGGTCCACAGACCGGGGGTTGGGAACCTCTGCCTTAAAGAAACTGCCACAGCACATTTCCCCCCCCCCCATAAAATTAAGATTATCGACAGATATAGCAAAATAGGAGCTGCTCATAGAAAGGCTACATTCATGCAACCTTACTGGGCAGAAGTTGTAAAGGAGTTAGCATGCTACTATCGTGATTTTCCACCATACCATTCATGCAAGCAAAGACCACAGCATCTATTATCAGCATCTGGCAACAAGTGTTGCCATGCATTAGGAAAACATCTGTGGCCAGATGTTCATGTGCATAACCACATATCACTGGTGGTAAGCATTTTTATAACCACAAGCACTTAATTACTAACAGCAGTCCACCTCCTGTTAAGTCCAATACAGAAAAATCAACTGTGAATGTCCCATGCACAAGACAGTCTTGCTTAATTATCAGTGGGGGACACTAATCTCTACAGCCTAAAACAGAGGCATGAGCTGCTCTTTGCTGCAGCAGCAATATCAGAATTATAAGCAGATAGACAGATGAAGAAGAGTATGTGATGCCAAACAAGGCAGTATCACATCTTTTACAAGTTCAATAGGTATAAACTCACTCCAATGTCCTTGCTACCTTGCACAATAACTCTTTCAACATCCCCATACACTTTTTTCTAGGATTATGTAATTTTCAGGCTTACATTTGTAGTTACAGAACAAGCCGTTAAACAGAACAGCATTCTCTGAAATTATATGTAAGATTGCACTACCATTGTTTTTATATAGTAAGAACTTAAGAAAAGGCAACAGCAAAAGTTGAATGGGATACATGTATCAAAGGTATACATCCTGGAGCATTCAGATCACTCCAGAAATTCTCATCTCCTTTCCTATAAGGAATGCATAAAATCAATGAATGCTCGAAGGGTAGTTATCTTACAAGGAAACATAGTCTAAACTAACACTTGTTTGCAGAATATAATCCATATTCAACAAACAGCTAACTGCAAACAGCAGATATTGATATTCACCTTAGCCATGAATGCCAGCTGGGTGACCTTGGGCCAGTCCCTCTCTCTCAACCCAATCCATCTCACAAAACTGTTATAGAAGAAGGAAGGTGTGTTGAGTATGTTTGTTGCCTTGAGTCATTTGTAAAAATAATAAAGGCAGGATATAAACAAACAAACAAATATCTCTAATTTAACTTAAAGCTGACAATAGCAGGCCTTTACATGTATGAATTTGATCAAAGAACTATGTTCATTTTTGATTAACCATCTATTCCATCAAGAATACCTTGATGTAGATCTACATATGAAAAATATAACCACATCATGGTGCCATCTGTTAACAGACCTACTTAAATGACTCAAGTGTTTTGCTTTGCTTCATGTTAATACCATCTGTTGGGGAAAAGATGGAACTAACCAACAGCTAACATCTTGATTGGTCGAAAGCTTCTGATAACAACAATTTTAATTTTTTGCAACAATGGTTTTCCAATCTTTTAATGGTTTTGAAAAAAAAGCAATGTCAGGCTATCTATTTTCTTAGCAACTCAAAAAAAATGTAGTCAACAAGTTTGGTTTCTTATTTTCTTAAAACCTGTGTTGTAGGACTACATATTTAACAGGACTAAAAACAATAAAGATATCTGTGGCACGAAGTTTTTATAGACCACTATTTTACACACAGAATATTAACCTGAATGAAAATGATAACTTCAGAATGAAGAGTATGGGTCAATCACATACATACATACATAAACACACACACATACACACACACACACACACACACACACACACACACACGTTAGATGATAGGAGGAAATAGTAAAGAGTAAGGTCAGAAGGAGATAAAATGCAGAGCTGCAGACAGAGTTAATAACTTATTTAAATTGAAATTCACAAAACTGTTGCTGGAGTCTGACATAAACATTCTTGCATTGCTGATATATGTAATGTGACAAGAACCTTCTTTTCCCTCTGTTCAGTCTTTGTGTAATGAACACAAATCATGTGCCAGACACCTTGGATGAGCCTGAAAAAACTAAGCTTGCAGTTGGTTAGTAACTAAGACTAGATTGAGAAGTCAAACAAGATCCCAGGAGAAGGGAATGGCAAACCTTCATTAATGTTGCCAAGAGAACAACATGGATGTACTGGTTTCATCTGGTCTCCAAGAGTCAAGCTCAACTTGAGGAAACTTCATAATGCTTTCAGCTGTGTGTAACTTATTTCAAAATAAGCCTACAAAGTATGAACATTTTCCCTTTCGTCAATAACATTTCATAAACTTCTGTAAATCAAAGCATTACAGAACAAGCTGACATTTTGTAGAAATTATTAACTAGATAGTAGTTATCTATACTGTAATAATTATTAACTAGCTAAGTAGTAGCACCTAGCTGATCCCGGCTTGTTTTGAAAAGTAAAGCAAGGTTGGACCTGATGGAGCTTGAATAAAAAAATCCCAAGGTTTTAGGCTAGATTGGGAAGTAAAAAAAAGCTCAGAAGAATTCAGAATCTTTACAGAATAATAAAGGATCTTGTAGGTCTTCTAGTCCAACCCCCAGTTCAAGCAGGAGACCCCAAACCAGAGGTCACCAATCTTTGTTGGTTGGTGAACCGGAGGGAAAGGGAGGGGAAGCATTTTACACACAACACAAACGGGGCGAAGCTAGTGCCTGCATGATACTCACTAGCTCTGCCCCGTTCTTGCACAGCGCCCCGTTTCTGAACCCTGTGATGCAGTGGAGCCCATTTTCACGCCCAGAGGCACAGTGATGGCCTGTTTTCACACCCCATGGCATATTGTCATCCCATTTTCATGCCCCAAGGCGCAGCGGTGGCCTGTTTTTGTGCCCCGCCCCGCAGTGGCAGCCTGTTTTTGTGCCCCGAGGTGTGGCATCCTGTTTTCATGCCCTGTGGCTGCGATGTTAGCATGAGCCATGGCCCACAGGTTGGAGAACCCTACCCTATACCATTCTAGAAAGTGGCTGTCCAAACTCTTCTCAAAAGCCTATAGTGATGGAGCACCCACAATTTCTGAAGGCAAGCCATTCCACTAGTTAATTGTTCTCACTAGGAAATGTCTCTTTAGTTCTAGGTTGCTTCTCTCCTTGGTTAGTTTCCACCCATTGCTTCTTATCTTGCGTTCTGGTGCTTTGGAAAATAGGTTGACCCCTTCTTCTTTGTGGCAGCCCCTCAAATATTGGAATACTGCTATGTCACCCCTAGTCCTTTTCACTAGACTAGACAACCCCAGTTCCTACAAACATTCTTCATGTTTTAGTCTGCAGTCCCTTAATCATCTTTGTTGCTCTTTTCTACACCTTTCCAGAGTCTGTACTTTATATAATATAGTAACCAAAACTGGATGCAGAATTTTAAGTTTGGTCTTACTAAGGCTTTTATAAAGCGGTAATACTTCACGCGATTTTGATTCTATCTCTCCGTTACTGCAACCTAGGACTGCATTGGCTTTTTGGGCTGCTGCCACACACTAATAGCTCATATTTAAGTGATTGTCCACTAGGGTTCCAAGATCCTTCCCACAGTTACTGCTACTGAGTCAGGTTTCACCTAATCTGTACCTGTATATTTGATTTTTCTTGCCTAAGAGTAAAACCTTACTTTTGTCTACACTGAATTTCATTTTGTTACATAGGACCCAGTGTTCTATCTGGATCTTCAGCCTATTTTCTGGGGTGTTAGCTATTCCTGCCAGTTTGGCGTCATCTGCAAATTTGATGATTTCCCCTTCTATTCCCTCATCTAAATTGTTTATGAAGATGTTGAAGAGTACTGGGCCTAAAACAGAACGTTAGGGTACCCTACTGCCTTCTTCCTTCCATGTAGATGTAGTTCCATTGAGGACTGCACATTGAGTGTGGTTTGTCAGCCATATTAGCAGATATACTTTGAACTATTCTGAGTTTTCCTATTATCTTCACTTGTATGATATGTAATCTATTCTAATGGACAATATGTTGAGAAACCTTACATTGCAAAGTGTAGCAGAATTGGGAACTCAAGATGACATGCTTCTGAATATTAATTGAAGAATGCAGCACTGCTGTAGACTATTGACCTCATGTCCTATTTACAGATTATTCATTGGCATTTGGCTAGCACAATGGAAAGTAGTATTCTGGGCTAAATAAATCTTTTATAGAAGCCACTAGAGCTCTTTGTAAGTTTATCTCCTAGGGAACAGTGATAAAATGACACCCTTGAAATGTATTGGGCTACAGCTTCTATTATCTCCAGCTTGTTGAACAGTTGCAATGGCTGGAAATTACAGAGTTGAATTCCAACACATTTGGAAGGTGCCTAGTTAAGGAAGGCAGATAGGAAGCTGCATATTCATAAATTATAATATTTATTTTATTTTATTTATTTATTTATGAGACTTATATACCGCTTTAAGTGCAAGCACTCTCTAAACGGTGTACACCAGTAAGCAATGTATATATATATTTACATTGCCCCCAACAATCTGGGTCCTCATTTTACCTACCCCGGAAGGATGGAAGGCTGAGTCAACCTTGAGCCGGTGAGATTTGAACCGCTGACCTGCTGAACACAGTCAGCTAAAGTGGCCTGCAGTACTACACTCTAACTGCTGCGCCACCTCGGCATATATATGCCACATTCACTGGACAGGCAGTTTCACTTCTGTGTTTTTCAATCTTAGCAACTTTCCGATATTTCAACTCCAAGAATTTTCCAGTCAGCCATGCTGGTGTATATGATGCACATATAACATAATCCATATTAAGCAAAAAAAGGATTATGCATTTTTCTTCATTACTGCAAAAAACCAACATATTCCAGGGTCTTTTATCCTCTAAAGCCACGTAATGTATGTGCTTTCAAGTCAATCCTGATATCTGCCTGGAAACATCTCTGAAGTTTTCTTGGCAAAATTTCAGAAGGGATTTGCCACTTCCTTCTTCCTAGGCCTGAGAAAGAGTGAGTGAGAAAATAACTAGCTGGCTTCGGGCCTAAGGTGGGACTAGATTAAGGTGGGACTATAATTCACAGTCTCCTGGTTTCTAGCCCAATGCCTTAAACCACTATATCAAAATGGCTCCTAAGAAATATATCTGGAGCATAGACACATAGGTAATTTCTTAATATGAAATAACCTGAGGGCATACGTTTCTAAAATCTGCTTTACATTGGATTCCACAATCTGAAAGCCTCTCAACATCCAGGAAAATAATACATGAGAATGATGGGGGGGGGAGGAAGGAAAAATAGAAAAAAAGAAACAAGATTTATATGAGTCTCATATAGATATAAGATTACTTTAACGATGAACAAAAAGACTTTGTCATTCTTCAATTTATGAAACATAAAGTTTAATCCCAAATTCTATATTTTAGTGCCTGTCAGACACAAATGAACAAATGAATAGGTGTCTAAGCTCCAGGTTATAACAAACATGACCAGACAAGATAGGAGAGAGAAAGCATTAAAAAATTAATGAACCTTGGAAGTCATGTATCAAGAGAACTCTTACATGCTATCCTCTTTTATATCAATAATGCAGAATAGATGTTCTAAGAACAGACAATATAACTCAATCTAAAAAGAATATGAAATAAGAATAAAAAGGTATACAATCCTTGAGCAATATAACATGCTACTGCTCCTAAGGTGAATATTCAACCTATATATTTGATATAATAACCATTAATGCAAGATCATACTAAGTAGATTATAGTTTGGAAGTGGCTTAAAATAATTTTTCCAAAAAAGAAAAGAATTAACCCGAGATCAAGAGAAAAGGAAATACAAGGATGTCAGTTTCAATATACAAAATTGGTACCATGCAAATATGCAGAACATAATACACGCATGGAGAAATATGTCCCTCTCAGTTAATGCTGATGCCTGGCAACTGCTGGTTTAGTCCCTACAGTTTTCTTGGCAAGAATGGTTTGCCACTGCCTCTTTCCTAAGACTGAGAGATAGAGACTGGCCCAAGGTCAGCCAGCTGACTTTGTGCCTCAGGGTTTTTAGCTTGGTACCTTAACCACTATACCAAATTGGTTCTTTAGAATTGATACCTGTAAAAGTCAAGGCAGGTAATGAAAGAGCATAAAGCTTAGCATAAAGGGGGGGGGAGGCAGAGAGTGACAATAAGGACCAACCAGGTTTGAACGGGCAAGAACCAACCCCATCTATAAATTGAGAACAAAATTATTACAGTGATTAAAACGAGTAGTTTCTCTTCCCCTGGGCTCCCCAGGGTCCATCCACTAATCGATTACTACCGGTAGGAACAACCTTTCCAACACAAAGATGCTCAGGAAAAGAAAAGAAGGGCAGTTACCGAAAGGTCACCCTGCTAGGCAGACCGACGAAGCCAGGACCGCGGTCAGGTGGCTCGAGGGAAACCCCGGACACGCAGGAGCCCCATAACCCCGCAACATTGAACAAGGGAGACGATGCGCGCGCAAAGTCAGACTGACCTGTCGGAAACAGAAGGGCATCGTCAGCACGCTAACCCCGACGATGCTGTTCACAATGTTCATGATCAGGCCCCAGTTGGAACCCGAAGGCGCGGAGGAAGCCATAGCCGAAAGAAAGGGACGCGAGGGAGAGCGGGCAGGTAACAGAGAAGGGAGCCTTGAAGAGGGAGGGAAATGGCAGCTCCGGGCCCGCACGGAGCGCCAGATTACGGCGAGGTCAGGGCGCCGCTTCAGCACCAGCCTCCCACCAAAACAAACTCTCTCCTGTAAGCCGGCTCCAAACGCACACGTCGCACGCACTTCCTAATTCCCCTGCTCTGTTGGCGCTTCCGGGATGCAAAAGCCACAGAGGGCCGTCGCCTAGAGCGACACAACGGGAACAAGCGTTTAGACGTGCCCCGGAGGACTCCCTGACTGAAGCGAGGGGGAAGGGTGGGGGGGGGAACCGAAGTTGCCATAGCAACCGCTGGTGACGCCGGCAGTCGCCGCCTACCAGACCGCGGCGGAGAGGGAGGGGCGGCGGTTTCCTTTGATGATGCTGGCAGCGAGGGTAGCCGGGGAAGACCAAGGCGGAGGCGACGGTTCCACGCAGATGGAGCGACGCGAGGCAACGTGGGCCTTACTTGCATGCCAGGAACTTCTCTCGAATTGGGTTTGCATAATGGCGCCTTACTCTCGAGAGAATGAGGCAGGGTGAATTTCTGCAGAAGACAGTCAACCTAAATCCTATGGGAGATGAATGCGATAGGACCCCCTCTGTGGACAGAGAAACATCCAGGGCACCCACAACCCGTAAATGCTTGAGCAAAAGTTATACAGGTAGTCCTCGACTGACGACCACAATTGAGTCCAAACTTTCTGTCGCTAAGTGAAACATTTGTTAAGTGAGTTTTGCCCCACTTGACGACTTTTCCTGCCATGGTTGTAAAGTGAACCAGTGACGTTGTTAAGTTAGTAACACCATTGTTAAATGCATCTGGCTCTCCCATTGGCTTTGCTTGTCAGAAAGTTGCAAAAAGTGATCACATGACCTCAGGACACTGCAGCCGTCATAAATATGAGTCGGTTGCCAGGCATCTGAGATTTGATCACGTGACCACGGAGATGCTGCAAGGGTCGTAAGTGTGAAAAATGGTCATAAGTCACTTTTTTCACTGCTGTCACTAAATGAACTGTTGTAAGTTGAGGACTACCAGTAGTGTGAGCACTGTTGCGTGGTTACAGCACTCCAGCCCTTTTTCCTTCTCAGTTCCTGCAGCTGATGAGGACACCAGTAACTGTCAGGTGTGTAGTGAATTTCAAGGTTAAATATGAAGGAGACAGCACCCATGTGATACCTTTCAGCTGCATTTGCACAACATGCTAAACCTGGGTACTGAACAAGTCCATTGCTTCACATGGTAAAGGGAATTATAAAGATGACCAATGTAGTTGGATTTATATCAGAAAACAAAGCCACAAAAATGGCTTAAAGTTAATCTTGCCCAAAGTTGGCAAGTTGTGCAAAAGAAGCTCCTAAGTCTTTACTTGACCTGGTTAAGTGTGTTTTGGGAGCACAGCTTAATAGCAGCTAAATAGCACATATGTAGTGGTAGAGAAGAAATCCCATTGCAAAAAATTAATTTTGAACAAAAAGATGGGTAGCTCCATTTCTTATGGTTAGAAGATAATAAACAAACCCCAAAATATCAAAATCTGGATAAGAGTTCAGGAAATTGTCCAACTAAGTAGGAATCAGTGGATCTATGATATAAATTTATATTTCATATACAAGTAGTCTTTGACTTACAACAGTTCATCTAGTGACCAAGTTACAACAGCACTGAGAAAAGTGACTTATGACCATTTTTCACACTTTCAACCATTGCAGCATCTCCACAGTCACATGATCAAAATTTGGATGCTTGACAACTGGTTCATATTTATGCTTGCAGTGTCCTGGGGTCATGTGATCACCTTTTGGGACCTGACAAAGTCAATGAGGAAACTACTTACACTTTACAACTGTGTTACTAAACAACTGCAGTGATTCACTTAGCAACTGGCAAGAAAAGCTGTACAGTGGGGCAAAAGTCACTTAACAAATGTCTCACTTAGCAACTGAAATGTTGGACTCAATTGTGGTCATAAGTCAAGGACTATCTGTACTGATCTGAACCCCCTTCTCCTATTTTCCCCATATCACAACCTTATGGGATGGATTGGATTCTTGTCCAACCAGTACAGAACCGCCTCCAAATTTTCCCCATCCCCATTCTTATAATAACATGAGCCAGGATAGGCTGAAAGAAGGGTAGGTGGCATAACATTACACAGCGAATATCCAAGTAGATATTTGAATCAAGTTCCATTATTTCAGTTTGTCATGCTAACTAGTACACCACTGGGGCTCTCACTGTATAACTGAATATCCATGATGTCGGTACTTTAGCCTGGGAGTGGAATATCACAGGAATGCTATTATGACAGGTTTAATGGTGATTGTTTTCTGGAGCAAAAAAAAGATAACTATGACATACAGGTAGTCCTCAACTTATGACTGATTGCTTAGCAACTGTTCAAGCTTATAATGAATTTTCCCGCTTTTGAAGTTCTGATGGCTGGTGCCCATTCCTCCCCACAATCACATTTTTATTTACCTCCCTCAGTGCAGGCACGCAACTTGGGTGTCCTCCTGGACTCACAGCTAAATTTGGAACAACATCTATCGGCTGTGGCCAGGGGGACCTTTGCACAGGTTCGCCTAGTGCACCAGTTGCAGCCTTATTTGGACCGGGAGGCTTTACTCACAGTCACTCATGCCCTTGTCACCTCAAGACTGGATTACTGTAACGCGCTCTACATGGGGCTACCCTTGAAGGGCGTTCGGAGGCTGCAGTTGGTTCAGAACGCAGCCGCGAGAGCGATTGTGGGCGCGCCAAGGTACGCCCACGTGTCACCTATCCTCCGCGAGCTGCACTGGCTTCCTGTGGGTCTCCGGACGCAATTCAAGGTGTTGGTTATCACCTTTAAAGCCCTTCATGGCATAGGGCCGGGTTACCTACAGGACCACATTCTGCCGCACAGCTCCCAGAGACCGGTGAGGTCCCATAGATTAGGCCTCCTTCGGGTCCCGTCGGCCAGACAATGTCGGCTGGCGGGCCCTCGGGGAAGGGCCTTTTCTGTGGTGGCTCCGACCTGGTGGAATCAACTTCCCCCGAGGTTCGAACTACTCCCACCCTGCCGGCCTTTAAGAAGGCCGTTAAAACTCTCCTGTTCCGGCAGGCCTGGGGCTGATGTCCCCGGGGGGCTGGGATATGATCGGACTCGCGGTATGATTGGATTATTTTATTGTTTTACGACTGTTTTTAATTTTGTACGCCGCCCTGAGTCCTTTGGGATTGGGCAGCATATAAATATTTGTAAATAAATAAATTTTGGGAGCTTGGCAACAGGCCCACATTTGCAATGTCCCCTACAATCACATGAATGCAATTTACAACATTTTTTTGCCATAAACCAGTTTCTTTCCAGCCTCTGGCAAAACTCACCCATTGGATACAAGGGGTTCACTTAAGAGCTGTGGCATTTGCTTAATGGCTGCTACAGAAAAGGTTATAAAATCAGGTGTGGTCATGTGATCCACTTAATGACCGGCACAACTTACAGCCTAAGAATTTCCTGTCCCCCCCAAATCAATTATAGTTGTAAGTCGAGGACTACCTATCAGACATTGCAAGGGATATAAGGAAAGAAGAAGGCTATGTCTTGGCTGTAGGAATTATGATCACCTGATCACCACCTGGTGCTATATATGTAAGTTTTGGGCTACAGCACAAATACTTTTTTCCTATCCAAAATGTCAATTATTAAGGTTTATCACATAGACTTTTGAGAAGTATACAAAATTGGACAAAGATCCTTTAAGAAATTGAAAGGACAATGGAGCATGTGTGGATTACTCTAGGGATATGAGCTCAAGGTTGTGGAATTAATTAGCATTAAGGAGAGGGGAATTAATACATGCCCCACAAATACTGAGTTAGCCCCAAAGCTGTTTACATGGCAATCTTTTGCATTTGGAGAAATCTTTCATCCTTGAAGCTCCCCAATACCTACTGCACAGTATGCAGGAATCTATGGACTAATTAAGTTTATACAATCATCAATCAGATAGTAACACTTTTATTGCAATGCGCCACTTCAGGTGGCAGGTGGGAGGTTGCATACTTGAATGCTCACTTATGGGGGGGTTGAACTCCCCACAGGGAAACCCTGCATTTAGCAAACAAGCAATCAGGGAGAAAGCTAGATTGAACTTTTCTCTATGATATACCTATTTATCTACTAACCAGTGATAATTCATGCTAAGTGATATATTCTAACAAATGTAGAGAGCAAAACTCATTTCACCTGGATAGAATAACTTCTAGAAAGATTACATCCTGGGCAGATTAATTTGAAGAAGGGCTATCAAGATTTTATATTTAGCTACTAAGATATTCCAGGATAACTCGGATCAAATAGAGATTATCTTATTTCCTGGGCTGATTTTGCCACTATTTACACCAATAGATAACTGTATTGTGTGCTACATATCACAAGCTTTAAAGTCATGAGACCCTAATGCATACCACAAGAGTAAGGATGATCCAACCACCGAATCCTGGAACAGCAGGTGGGAGAATTTATAACTAAGACCAAATATTCCTGCTATTTCTAAACAAAACACAGGAATCATTTATGCTGCATTATTGTTCTCATGAATTGCATAGATAAATAATGAAATGCAGGCTTCTTGCAAACTGAAAATTTTATAAAAAAAATACTGGAAGGTTAATTTTGAAGAGAAAGCATATACAAATCACTCCATCTTCTGCTTTCAAAATTACCCATGAGGATAAGGGTTTAAAGAGAAAGATAACTACAAATACACTAAGAATTATTTTCCAGACTTGAAAAAAAAATCATACAACTTCGCCAAGGGTTAATCCTTTTTTGAATCTTGCATCAAGAAGTTCTATTGTAAACAATTTCACCTCGCTATCCAGGCCAGATGCTTTTCCATCACCATTATACTGTATGTGTGTATTTGTTTCTTCATCTGTTTTATTGGTAGTTTAACTAATTTTACAATGACAGCATGGCTAAGCTATATTGACTTTGTTCATGCCAGATTGGCCCCGCATTGTAGGCCACATCTACGCCGCTGTGAATAAAGACAGGCAGTGTTATTTTATTCATTGAATTCTCATTGAGCAATGGACAGGAAGACTGACTAATTGCCCAACACTACATAAATATCTCAGGCTGAAAATCCTTCCCCAATGATTGCCTACAGTGTACCTACAGAGTTATTCCATCTCC